AGGGTGACATTTTCTCCATATATTTGAAACATCTGCTTAGCATTCTTGACAAAAACATTTTCTTTGGGTTCAAGGAGCACAAGGATATCAACAATTCCTCCTGGGTAGTAAAAGAAGATAAGAAGGAGAACAGTTATTATTACTGTAAGAAGAACTGGAGGTAACCAAGACGACAGCATACCTGGAGAGTGAGCCAACCTTCCGTTGAGAGAGAGAGAGAGACTGGACACGAGAGAGAGACTGGATTTGTTCTGATGTACTCTGTCCTCCCGTTTGTACTAAGTCTGCTCTTATTTCTGTGGTACCGTATTTTTCGCCCTATGGGACGCACTTTTTCCCCTTCAAAAATGAAGGGGAAATGTGTGTGCGTCCTATAGGGCGTATGCAGGGGTTCGCTGAAGCCTGGAGAGCGAGAGGCGTCGGTGCGCACCGACACCTCTCGCTCTCCAGGCTCCAGGAAGCTATCCGCAAGCCTTGCACGCCCGGGGGGAGTTCCCCTAGGCGTGCAAGGCTTGCAGAGGCGGGAGCCTGCAGCGCGGAGCACGGGGCTCCATCCGTAGGACGCCCCATGCTCCGCGCTGCAGGTTGCCGCCCGCAAGCCTTGCGTGCCCAGGGGAGTTCCCCCAGGCGCGCAAGGCTTGCGGACACCTGCGCGAAGCACGGGGCATCCTCCGAAGGGCGCCCCGTGCTCCGCGCAGGTGTCCGCAGCCTGCCGCCCCGCGCGTGGGGCGCCCTGAAGCAGAGCGCCCCTCGCGCTGGGCAGACATCGGCCAGCCCCACAAGCTCGGACAGCGGGGAGGCGCAGCGCCACCATCCCACTGTTCCCCGACCTGGTTTTGGGGGGGAAATAAAGGAAAAACAATTTTCCTTTATTCCCCCCCCCAAAAAAAAATTGGTGCGTCCTATGGGACGGAACGTCCTATGGGACGAAAAATACGGTAAGTGGAGGAGGTCTTCCATACAAAAGCTCAAAGGGAGAGAGCTTTAGCCTCTTGTTGGGTGCACATCTGATCCTGAGCAAGGCTACGGGTAGAAAGTCCACCCAATTGCCATGAGTTTCCTGGCACAATTTCGCCAGCTATCATTTAAGAGTCCAGTTCATTCTTTCCGCCTTGCCGGAACTCTGTGGTCGGTAGGCAGTGTGCAGTTTCCATTGTATCTGCAGGGCTTTGCATACACCCTCCACTAACAAAGTGATAAAGGCTAGTCCATTATCCAATTTTTAAATACCTTATTCCATGTTTTGAACCATATTTTCCTAATGGGTAGTGTAATTACTTGAAATAAATAAAAAAAACAAAAACAAAAAAACAAAAAGGGAAAAAAAATAAAAAAATAAAAAACCGAGGAAAAAAACTCCAGGACTTGTACCTAAGCCCAGTTTTGGGTCAGTTATCTCAGCTATCAGTTTGCAGAGAGTTATTTGTTTTTCAGGCTTTTAATTAGTAAAGTCCCAAGAGCGAGACGGGTGTGCACCTACCCACGCTGACGCATGCACAGTTCTGCTTGCACCTGGCTTTAGAGCTACTACAATTGGTGGTAATTTCAATTCTGCCCCTTTAGGCATGAAGGCTATTTGAGCTTGAATTTTAGATAGAAAATCACGTCCCAAAAGGGGAATTGGACATTCTGGTACATAAAGAAACTGGTGAGTGAAGGTCCTCCTCCAATCTGGCACTCTTGGGGTTGCAGAAAGGGTTTTATTGCTGGCTCAGACTAGTTTGAACAGGTCTAGGCTGGTTTGAACCGGTCCAAGCCGGGTGGTACAGGTCCAAACCGGTTGGAACTGGTTTAGACAGGTTGGAACCGGTCCAATCCAGTTTGAACCAGCTGAAACCAGTTGGGAAAATTCCATGCAGGTTCCAACTTGCCCACACCAGTTTGAACTGCCCCAGACTGGTAGGAACTGGCTAAGACTGGTTGGAACAGGTCTAGGCTGGTTTGAACCGGTCCAAGTCGGTTGAAACAGGTCGAAGCCGGTTGGAACCGGTCTAGGCCAGTTGGAACCGGTCTAGGCAGGTTTACGCCAGTACAAGCCAGTTTAAACCGGTCTTGGCCGGTTTGAACAGGTCTAGGCCGGTTTTAAACGACCCAAGCTAGTTTGAGCAGTTCCAAGTAGGTTGGAACTGGCCCAGACGGGTTGGAGCAGGTCCAGACCAGTTGGAGCAGGTGCAGGTCATTTGAAACTGAATTTGACCAGTTCAAAACAGCCTAGACCAGTTCAAACCGGCTTCAACCAGCACAAATCGGCTTGGACTGGTTCAAACCAGTCTAGACCTCTTCCAACCAGTCTGAGCTGGTTCCAACCAGTCTGGGAAAGTTGGATCCCGCCTGGACCTTTCCCAACTGGTTTGGGCTGGTTCCAACTGGCTTGGGCTGGATCCAACTGGTATGAAATGATTCCTACAGGTCTGGGCTGGTTCCAAGCGACATAGACCTGTTCCAACTAGCCTGGACCTGTTGTAACCAGCTTGGGCCAGTTTCAAATGACCTGCACCTGCTCCAACTGGCCTGGACCTGCTCCAACCTGTCTGGGCCAGTTCCAACCCACTTGGAACTCTTCAAACCGGCCTAAACCGGTACAAAACTGCCTCGACCAATTCAAACCGGCTTGGACTGGCAGAAACCGGCCTAGACCGGTTCAAACTGGCCTAGACCGGTTCCAACCGGCTTGGATCTGTTTCAGCCGACTTGGTCTGGTTCAAACCAGTCTAGACCTGTTCCAACCAGTATGGGCCAGTTCCAAGTAGTCTGTGCAAGTTGGAACCCGCCTGGACCTTTTCCAACTGCTTTGGGATGGTTCCATACCTAATACAATGACCGCTCCCTGGTTAAAACGGGGGGCGCCCTTTGCCTGGACGCGTGCAGCCCCTAGATCTGGAGCGGCTCCAACAGCATAGGCTTGGCTTTGCCTTCCCTCAGGTGGGATACCTGGAGGTCTCCGCCTACCTCAGTCAGTTGTCCAATCCCACCTGGGGGAAGCGTTGCCAAGGAGACCAGGCCAGGTAGGGGAGGGATTACCTGCCCACACAATAGAGGGAGGATCTTACCTGGAAATCCTCACTTGGCTCCAGAGCTTCTCCCACCCTACCCACCCTCAGTTAATGTCTTATTTTGCAGGTTAACTTTTCTTCACAGGTTTTGCAGGTTAACTTTTCTTCACAGGTATGCGGGCGCTGCTACGTTAAGGTCGCGGTTAAAGGGCCGGAAAGGAATTTCCCTGCATTGGCAGGTTTCGCCTTTCCCGTAGCAAAACGTCACAACTTTGGCGGTATCAGGCCTTGGGCTGGGGACTGGGGAGGGAGAACACCCAATGCCTGAGCCAAGGTCTACCCACATTTGAAATTTAATAAAGTTGTGGCCAATTTAATCCCATAGCACGTAGTCTTGAGTCGTTATTCCACATGACGGGGGGACCGCGTGGGATCTGGGGACTCCGCCTGTCCACTCAAATAGTATTATACTCCATACCTAATACAAATAGTGGTGAGAGTAAACATCCTTGTTTAACTCCTCTTTGTATATTGAATTGATCTGAAACCCCCTCATTCACTCTGACCACAGCCTTCCCTTCTCTATACAATTCCCGGATTGCTTCCACAAAGTTCTCTCCTAATCCTCCCTCCTGCATAATACTCCATAAGAACTTATGTCTAATCGTCTCGAAGGCCTTAAAAGGTAAAGGTAAAGGTAGTACGGGCCAGTCTTGCCAGACTCTAGGGTTGTGCGCTCATCTCACTCTATAGGCCGGGAGCCAGCGCTGTCCGCAGACACTTCCGGGTCACGTGGCCAGCGTGACAAGCTGCATCTGGCGAGCCAGCGCAGCACACGGAACGCCGTTTACCTTCCCGCTGGTAAGCGGTCCCTATTTATCTACTTGCACCCGGGGGTGCTTTCGAACTGCTAGGTTGGCAGGCGCTGGGACCGAACGACGGGAGCGCACCCCACCGCGGGGATTCGAACCGCCGACCATGTGATCGGCAAGTCCTAGGCACTGCGGTTTTAGATAGAAAATCACGTCCCAAAAGGGGAATTGGACATTCTGGTACATAAAGAAACTGGTGAGTGAAGCGTATGTAACCTGAAGCGCATGTAACCCGAGGAACCACCGTACGTTGGCTCCCAGTACGTTTCCGAGCACAATTCCAAGTGTTGGTGCTGACCTTTAAAACCCTAAACGGCCTCGGTCCAGTATATCTGAAGGAGCGTCTCCACCCCCATCGTTCTGTCCGGACACTGAGGTCCAGCTCCGAGGGCCTTCTGGCGGTTCCCTCACTGCGAGAGGCCAAGTTACAGGGAACCAGGCAGAGGGCTTTCTCGGTAGTGGCGCCCGTCCTGTGGAACGCCCTCCCATCAGATGTCAAAGCGATAAACAACTACCTGACATTCAGAAGACATCTGAAGGCAGCCCTGTTCAGGGAAGTTTTTAATATGTGACATTTTAGTGTATTTTTCATCTTTGTTGGAAGCCGCCCAGAGTGGCTGGGGAAACCCAGCCAGATGGGCAGGGTACAAATAATAAATTATTATTTTTTATTATAAAGCGACATCTGGTCCTTCCTTTTCAACAGAATCCCATGTCCTCAAGAGTAGCCCGTGTGGTGCTCTCCAAAGGCTGCCAGGCTCCAGCTCCTATCAGCCCCCAAAGTCTGGCACGATAGGAGTTGGATTCCAGCAACCTCTGGAGGACAAAAGGTTAGACACATCTTGCGATTGCATTACCTTGTGATTCGTGTCAAGAAGCAGCAAATTGGGTTGTCGGCCACTGGGGCCACATTAGCACCATCAATTTGAAGCACTATCGTGTCACTTTAAACAGCTCCAAAGCTTGTTAAAGGACACGGAGAGTTATTGGGAGACTCCTGTTCCCCTCACAAAGCTACCATTCCCAGACCATCAATCCCTCTTCACAGGGAACTCTGAGAATTGTAGCTCTGGCAGGCTTCATTCGGACTCAGGGCTGATAACCTGGGGAGCAGAACTGGCAATTTTGTAAAGGAAGAAGCAGGCCAGACGTAAAGTGACTTCTAGTCCAGAATCTTCAGAGAGTCTGAGTGGAACAAGGAGGCAGAAGGAGCCGTAGCAGAAACTGAGGAGTGGATACAAAAACAAACACCGAGATTCCCAAGCATAGAGGAACAAGGCCATCCCACCACCGTCCCCAGCAAGTAGCTAGAACCTTGTCCTCCATCCACACCCTCAGCTAAACACTGCAAGGTCCCAGGCTCATTCATCGCAGCTCCAAGGAACCTGGCCAGGTGAGAGGTTGCATGAGCTGCTTCTGAGACGTTGCAGGCTGTGGGCACGCTTTGCCACTCCCCAGCCACGCTTCCTTCTCACAAGAGGTCACAACACCTACAAGGCCACAAAGGACTGTTAAGCAACTAGGTTGTTCCACTCAGAGTAGACCCATTGGAATTCCTTCACTTGTTAGGCCACATTCGCACCATACATTGAAAGCACTACAATGCCACTTTAAACAGTCCTGACTTTCCCCAAAGGGTTCCGGGAGCTGTACCATGAAGGGTGCCATTAAGGAGGCCCCTCTCCCCTTCACAGAGCTATAATTCCCAGGTGTCCCTGAGGAGAGGGATTGTTAAACCACTGTAGGAACTGTAGCTTTAGGAGGGGAATGGGGTCTCCTGACAACTCTTGGCACTCTTAACAAACGACAGCTCCCAGAACCCTTTGGGGGAAGCCAGGACTGTTTAAAGTGGTATCATGGCACTTTATGATGTGGATGTGGGCTGAGAGAGCTAGCAGGGCAAAAGCAGGAGACACCCTTTCCTGGGAATGAGACCTAAGAAGATGCCATCAGGCAGGGGAACCAGAAATAAGGATAGAAAACCAACGCACCATTGCGTCCAAGCTTGACCCTGACACTTTTTCTTAGCTCTTTCAAATCAGGAAGTTGTCTTGTATCAAATCAGGCTGCTGGTGTATTTGTTATACACTGGCTGGCAGCAGCTCTCCAGGGTTTCAAACAGATGTCTTTCTCAGCTTTACCTGGGACTTTCAGCAGGCAAAGCAGGTAGTCTCCCTCTGGACTGTGGCCCTTTCCCCGCCTAGCCTGACGGTAGGCAAGTGTGGTGTGTACACCAGAAGAAGTGGTGTGGGCTGGTGGCTCTTGAGTCACCTTCCTCCAGCTTCCATTGATTATGTTTTCCATTCTTCCGCACCCTCTGTGCAGACACTTGGTTGTTGCTGGGTTGCCTGTTTTGAATTTTAAACTCTTAAATCTATTCCTTTTCCTCAGAGATACAAAAGAAGCCCCAATGCAAGTGGTAAAAGGATAATGTAGCTGCTCAATGGATCTCACTTCGACTAGGGGCAACCCATGTGGTGTGGTGCCCTCCATATCTTTTGGGTGAAGGTGCATTGCCCAGTCCAGTACCAGCAGCGTATTCAGGGCACCCCATTAGAGGGTGGAAGTCTCTGTCCAGAAGCCAAGCATGGGGCAGGCGGGCCTTAGAGCTTCCAGCAAATGGCCTTAGCATGGCCACCTCAGTTGCTGGGTTGACGCGATCTGGAAATGGCGGATTCCCTCCGAGCTCCGGAGGGAATCGGCTCCAATGAGGATGGGTCTTTGCCGCGCCGGCCGACGCGGGGACCCTTAAAAACCGCAGGCGCGAAAGCCTGCGGACTGAAGACTCGGCGGGTGCCTCAAGCGCCCCCCCTGATTCGGCAAAGAGCCTTTTTAAAGGCTGCGGAGGGGATACGGGGGTGGCGTGGCACTGAGAGTCGATCGCTACCTCGTGGAGCGAAGCCGCGAGCCATGACCGGAGAGCGTTGACTTCCTTCCTTGAAAATTTGGACTGAAAGAATTACCCGTGAGTAAGACGGATTGGGACTTTTGAAAAATTTTACCTTTAATTGGAGACGACCGGGGGGTGTGCTAAAAGGAAGTCCGCACCCCCCCCCCTTGCAGACCATCTAAGCAACGACACAAGAGATAAGCTGGAGAGCCTACCCTTGGTGGGGTGAGTTAAAAAGGACACTAACTTTCAAGATTTTACTAAAGGAAAATTTTGTGCAGGAGAGTGGAGTTTTGGAAACCTTCCTTCTGTTTTAAACAACCCCCCCTCCCGGGCTCGGGAACGTCCTGCCTTCGTGCCTGCGTTAGAGCTGCGGAGTTTGACAGCTGTCAAAGCTGCCAAACGGGCGGTTTAAAGCGAGAAATTGCCATTTAAGATTTTTATGGACTAAGACGAGTTATAATTGAGCTGAAACTGTTGGAAACAAAGTAATAATAATCAGTTTAAGGATTGTTGGTGAAAAGGCAAATAAGTAACCAGATTCCCCCTAGGGGGAACTCTGTGAAACTACAATGGATACAATGGCTGTGGAAGGAAAGTTACTAGTGGAAATCGAAAGGATGTTTCAATTGGTGGGAATCTTACAGGAGCAGAGTTTGGCCATGAACAAACAACTTGAGACTATGACCTTGGGAACAGGCAACTCTGCTCTTTGTATTGAGGACCTCAATGAGAAAGAATCCACAGCTGATTGGGAAACAATATCTACAGAGCTGGAAGAGACTAAACAACAAGAAAAAGAAGAAGTAATCCTGGGAAGTAATAACCAAAAGTTGACATCTGTGGAATACAAGCAAGGAGACGCTGGGAACATATTCACCACAAGTCTGCGAGAGATACAGAAGAAGAAGGAGGAGGCCCCAAGACAAAATGGAGTACAGGAATTTAAAATAAAGAAATATGATTGGGGTCTCCGTTTGGACTTAGACTTGGAAGAGATAGACTTTGTGGAAATACTTCAGCAGCCACCTTTGAATCTTTTTGTTGGAGGAGGACATACTTTGATGGTGAAAGAACTTTTCCCAGATCTGACGACTGCTGTAAAGGACTACCAACAGGACAGGCGGAGAGGAACGGAAATAGATTTGAAGGCCTCGGACGTGAGGAACCCAGGCTGAGAACTTCGAATTTGGATTTTTATTGGGAAGGGACAAAAACCTGGGATGGGAGGGAGGGAAGAAGAGACTCTTAAAAACTCTCAAGACTTTTAGGTTTGGTTAAGATGACTTTTAATTAAGATAAAATGAAAATCGATGGAAGAGAACTTAAGTCCAACTTATGAAATCTAATTTTTATTATAAAAAAAAGGAAATAAGATGAATAAGATGAATAAGATTGTTAAGAGGAGAAATATCAACTTGCTGACATGATCTTGAAACTGGGATGCATTAGGGGGGGTGGGGGGAAGTCAGGGAACAAGGTTATGAAATGGGGATTTGCTGACTTTATACATGTTTTTGTCTTTGTTTTTTCTTTGTGTATGTTTTGTCTTTATAAAAGCAGAAAACCAAATAAAAATTTTATAAAAAAAAAAAAAGAAAGAAAATGTTTCAGCCCTCCGGCAGCAGGCTAGGACAAATAGACACCCGATGCCTGCGCCAAAATTCCACCTACTTCTGCAGTCAATAAAGCTGTGGCCATTTTTAATCCAGATTGTTGTCTGGTTGAGTTGATTTTATCACTCCTTGTTTTAGTCACTGCCTGGGGGAGAGTGGAGTTGCGACTGAGGCCACAATTGCCTCTTACTCAGACCAGACACAACCAGTGTGGTGGGGGGGGGGGGGCCTCCACATACAGTATTTTGGAATTCAGCTCCCATCAGCTGAATCAGTGATCAAGGGTGATAGGAATTGTAGTCCTCAACATCTGGAGGCACTGCATTGCCAACCCCTATACTAGACGAACAAGGCAGCTTTGTGGGAGGGGAGGGGAATTTATGTGTGTTTCTTTTTTAGGTGCTGAACTCCAAGGCAATACGGGCCGATTCCCTCCTTGGGGTCTCCAGGGTGCCAATTTTGGGCTGATATCTACAGAGAGGCAGAAATCAAGAGGTGCCTCCCTGCTGGTGCTGCTCAGTGGGCCTGAACTCAGGACTGGGCCTTGAGCTGCCTGGGCTGGCCCCAAGACAAGGGAAAGAGTCTTTTTCAGAAGTTCTGATCTCTCAGCCAAGCTTTTGACATTCATTCATTCATTCATTCATTGTTTGTTTGTTGTTTTACCACTGGTAGCACTCAACATCTGGCAACATCCAACACTTAAACAGGCTCTATTTATGGCAGCTAATTACATTAGAGCAACAACTACTAAATGCAATGTTATATTAGGGTACGTTTGCCTGTACAGGCATACATCAGTGAAAATGCCATACAAAATGCATTATCATAGGGGAGAGTGCTTGCAAACATGTCTATATTTGTCAAAACTGCATTTAAGAATTAGGGGAAATTCACACTAAGAAAACCAAATTGCTGCAGAAATGTGAAGAACTGAATTTAAGATTGGAAAAAGGAGAAACTTAGAAAACCAGAATTTGTAAATCCCTAGTCCCAGCTCATACCTTGGGTTGGTTTCCTTGGAGTGAAGGCCACGGAAGGCTGATGGTGATTTCTGTGGTAGAAGGTTTATAAACACAGGCTGAGCATGTTCTGGAAGGTTTACAGCATTAATCTTCCAGCTGATCATCTCTTCTCCTACTTTAGGTTCCTGGGTGGGTCACCAATGGCATAGCTTTGGATTCTTGCAGAGAGCAAGTCAGGCCTCTGTGTCTCTTCTGTAGCTCCAGCCCCCAGACGGCCATTCTCCTGTGTCCTTTTCCACACAGAAAAGGTCTTGAGACGTTCCCCTTTAGCCAGGGAGAGGGAGGGAGACACACCCTCTTCCACTGACCACCCAGAAGAGCCTCCAGAGATTTAGAGTTTTCTGTGACAACACATTAGCATACATTACAATAACAGATACTTAATAGACCTGCCTATGCTATTTCCTTAATAAAGAAGCATTTGACCATTTTAGCAATCTCCCCTATTCCTGTGGAACCCCATTTTGGTTATAAAATCACAGGATTGGAAGGGAACCCCACCTCCCGCAAAAAGGAAAAACCACCACATTTAGTCTAACCACAAACTCTTTGCAATATTCTGAATTGCCCTGAAATTTCCCCACAGCTCAATTTTTCCTTTCCTTGACAATCCTGTAACTCCTTCTGTTTTTCTCTCTCTGCAGATTGAGATCGAGCTTGTGTATGAATCTCCAGGTACTTTTGTCTTGAGCCAGTGGCGAGTTTGAGGGCTCTTGGGAGGCAAGGGTGTCCAAGACCCTTCAGCCACTTTCCCTTCCTCCGGCCCTCCATTGGGCTTTGTGCTCCATCCTCAACATCACAAGCTCCATGGATGTTTTTGGTGTCAGGTCCTGTTAATTGTTCCTACTGGTTGTTTTTGTGCTAATATGCTTTTTATATTGTAGTGCATTATATTTGTATTACATATTACAGCTGTTGTGCTACTACTATATTTAAATTGCCTATTTTCTATGTATATTTGTGGGAAATGAAATGTAAACCCGGCTATTGTAGGACATGGGATGGTATTACTACGCTATAGAGCCCGTCAGATTTGAGTATATTGGTGATTGGCAATTGAAGGCAATTGAGAGTGAGAGCTAGTGAGGCAATGTAACCTTTTCACAAGGAGTGCCTCAAAGAATTGGAAAAGGAAGCCCTCATCAACAGGGCCAAAACCATTCATGGAAACTTGTGAAAAGTTTCAGCTCAGACCTCAGATTTAGGGCTTGACAGCTTATATTACCTACAGAGTAAGGAAAGAGGGACTCTGACCAGGTCACACAGTTTTATATTGACGTTTGACAAAAAGGAAGCATCCTTGTGATACTGTTCCTCATAGCAACTCCCCTGCGAGGACTTTTTAGTTAAGAGAAAAGGTGGGCAAGAGGTGAAATGACAGAGGTGTCTAAAATGATGCCTGGCCTGGAGAAAGTGGACCAGAGAAATGTTTTTCTCCCTCTCTCATAACACCTGAACTCATGAACAACCAATGATGTTGGAAGATCAGGACAGATAAAAGAAAGCCCTTCTTCACAAAGCAGTTAAACAGTTAAAATATTGAACTGTGGAACTCACTGCCCACAGGAGGCAGTGATGGCCGCCATCGAGGATGGCGTTAAAAAGGATGGAGGAAAAGGCTGTCCTTGGCAATCGATGGCTGCTGGCCATGATGACTATGCTCTGCCTCCATGGCTGGAGGCAGCAAGGCTTCTGAAGACCAGCTGCTGGAAACCCCGGGGGAGAGAGGGCTCTTGGGCTCGGGTCCCAAAGGGATCTGACAGGCCCTGGTGAGAACAGGATGCTGGCCAAGCCTGATCCAGCAGGATCTTCGAATGTTTTTCAAATGAATGTCTGTCCACAATTAGATGGCACTTCTGGATGGTGTGAATGTTGGCTCTTGTTCTTTTCCCTAGGTCATGCTCTGATGGGCAAATGGCTGAGCCTCTATGACCCAGCTAATCTCAATGCCGGACTAAGGGGCTATGTGAAAGTTCACCTCTGTGTCCTTGGAGCTGGAGATCAGGCGCCGGTAAAAATCTTTACATTACAACATCTTCACCACCTCAACAGAGGCTTGTCACGGGCATTCAAGTTCATGTGATGCCATTGGCAGCTATTAAAATGATGGGGTGCCTTGTTTGGAATATCATTTTTCAAGACTGGTAGGTCAGACGCCTGTGGGACGCGGGTGGCGCTGTGGGTAAATCCTCAGCGCCTAGGGCTTGCCGATCGCATGGTCGGCGGTTCGAATCCCCGCGGCGGGGTGAGCTCCGTCTTTCGGTCCCAGCTCCTGCCCACCTAGCAGTTCGAAAGCACCCCTAAAGTGCAAGTAGATAAATAGGTACCGCTTTCTAGCGGGAAGGTAAACAGCGTTTCCGTGTGCTGCTCTGGTGCCGGCTCGCCAGAGCAGCTTCGTCACGCTGGCCACGTGACCCGGAAGTGTCTCCGGA